GGACTGTAACCTGTAAAATCCATAGATTTAGGAGGTCCTCTAGTGGCCGTTAGCTGTAAAAATCCATAGATTAGCCGCACCGTTATATAAACCGCAGGGTCGAAAAATGGGAAAAAAAGGCGCGGCTTATAGTCCGAAAATTACGGTAATTCAAAAGCAATGCAAACTGCAAGCTCCAAAACAAATAATAATAAGTAATAGTGTAATATAATCTGTGTTGTAATAATGAACCTAATAAACTGGGTTGGAAGGAAGGTTTTCACATGGCAATAATAACAGAGGAATAGGTGGCAGCAATAAAACATCAACCGTAATCTCATTTGTGGTTTAACAATTCATGGCTATGTAATGATTTAGTGTGTGTGTGTGTGTGTGTGTGTGTGTGTGTGTGTGTGTGTGTGTGTAGGAGATGTGCGAGTCAGGGAGGTGCAGAGTAGATCAATGGCTCCCTCTACAGGACCTGTTGCTGCCAGTTATCCTCAACAACAGGTAATCACACCACCTGTGTACATACCGAAACGCAGCGGCGAGTGTTTATACTGTACACGGACAAACCACAATGGAGTAAGGATTTGTTTTGGGTATTATCTAACATCTGGAAAATCTAAAAGTTACTTTCTCCCCAACTTTTAAGATTCAACTTTCCTCTAAACCTTGAATCTGGCACAGACAAGATGCAAGCTCTGATGAGAGTTTTCATCCTCTTAGACTCAGTCCAATTACCATCAACATTACAGTCTGCCAGTGAAAAAGATAACGGATAGAAAAAAATAAAGCTCAATCTCTGCTTGGCTTCTGACAAGCAAAGTGGCTTCTCCCTTTATGTGTTTAATTCCTCTGAGAGGGCGGGATGCAAAAAATAACCCAGCAGGAGAGAAATAGATGGCAAGTGATAGATGAGATGAGTTGGAGAGTGATAGTTAAATTGGATTGTTATCAGCATGTGAGCAGTTTTACTTCTTTGTGTATCCCTGCATCATTAACATACTCTGGTACTCAACACTGTGTCTGCCAGGATGACGCATTCTGCTTGGCTGTGGAAGACTCCTCGTTTGAAGCCTCTTTTGTATTTTCATGTATAGAAATGTAGGGAATGGGATGGCTCTCGTAAAGACAGTTCCTCACATAGAAACCTGATAGAAACACTTAATATCCAGAGGAGCACACACCTACAGTTTATATATTTGTTGAAAGGAAAAATCTTACGATCTGTTGGAATTGTGTACTAGTAGAGCCAGATGTGACCGCTCTCTTGCATACATTACTGTATATCTCGTTCGCACATACAACGCTGGGATGCATAAATATCATGCTCATATCCCTCCAGCTAAGCAGTTCATGAAGTGTATTTTGAATGATGTAGCTGCTGTTTTATGTGTGTTAGTCTACAGCTTTATTATACCCACACATCCTTTTACTCCTCTGAAATATCCTGTCTTCTGCTGAGCTCTCATAATTGCCATTAAGAGTTTACTGGAAAAACAGCTAATTTCCGTTTCCACAAATGGCGTATAAGAATGAACTGATCATCACTGAAAATGTCGATGTTATAAAATTAAATGATGTCTTTCGATTTTTCAGCTGGAGCAAATAATTATTATCCTTGATTACGACTTGATTTGTTATGCAACTCCCTTGACAATTAATCTAATTTGCTGCAACACATTCTGATGGCAGAAGGCCAACTGTGGATCTCTTTAATTTACCAACTGTGTTATCCTTCTTTTTAGTTGTAATCCTCCACATGTCCATCCTGGTTTATTTTGCCACAGCTGTGAATACTGTGGTATCAGCTAAAAGGGTTTAATACAGAAATACAGCTTCTAGTGTATCTGCAGCCAAACAACAAACAGTTTGAATAAACAAACTCAATAACACTCATCATGTGTAGTGGCTAGTAGTCTTCCACACCACTGCAGGACACAGTTGGGTTGGTTCTCTTTCTGAGGAGTTGGCGATGTGCAGCTCTTCATCCATCAGCTCGCTGCACCTCCTCGTTCCAGCACTACCAGCAATAATTGAAACTGATAAACGAGATGCTAACCACGTTTCCCTTTTGGATGCATTGTTGATACATGATTGCGGAAACCTAAGTGGCATTTCCTGTGGCCTCTATACAACATAAAACATCTTATGTGAGCATGTTTGGTTTTTATCAGAAGTAACTTCTACAGCTCTGATACGTTGTAAAGATAGAAACCAGTGAGGCTAAAAATGCACTTGAATCCAACCTAGTATTACTCCCCCACTAACAATGAAAGCAACTATAGAGAGGAGTAATCTATCCAGGAATCCATCCATTTATTAGCTATAATCTAACTCTTGAGCATTGTGGGAGCTTGAGCTAATACAGAGGTAACGTTAATAAATGCTAACCATAAACTGTTTGACTTAAAGAGAGTCAGTCAGTTGGAATGACCATAACATTTCTGTAAATTATTCCTGACATGTTTTTTCCTTCAATCATGTTTTATTTAAGAACTGACAGTGTGCTTGGGCGGAGGAGGATGTCGTGGCTTCTTCCTTCTCCTCATTATGCGTCTGAACTCAAAGAGCCAGCTGATCCGGAGAGAGACCTGAGCACCGCCGTCATCCTCCACCTCCTCTTCTGTAGGTCCTGGATTATGTTCCCCTGCTGACTCTTGTAAACACATCTTAATAAGCTTTTGTTTTGATGGTATGTAAATCTGTGTGTGTGTGTTTTCTCTCTCTAGCGGCAGCCTCCTGCTCGGCTGTGATGTCCACCGGTCTGGTGTCCAGTCTTTTGCTGTACAGACACCACAAGGTACATGCATCACCCCTTTGTTGATGTGTTTGCTGAATAATTTCCCCCCTGGTGCTGTCAGACTTAAAACCCGCCTCTGCCCCTCTAAAGATCCGTCAACACTCCAAAAGGCTCATAAACAAAATTGGTTTCTGTGCAACTTTATTAGAGTGTGACAGTTATTTTCTGCGTCACCAGTCCCCAACTAACGTCACCAGATGGTTAATGCCCCAACTTATTTTGGAACAAAACTTCTCCTTCCTTTTCCTCCGCAGGGTGTGAGTGCCTCTGCCCTGTGTCAGGATGTGGCCTGGCTCACAGAAGAGCTCTTGTTCAGAAACAAGGACGTGGGTTTCGGGGGGAGTTTGAAGGAGGTTGTCCGCTCTTCCCTCTCTCTGCTCGCCCCTCATCTCACCATAGCTGCAGTGCCGTCTCGGTTGGTTTTCTGTCTATCCAAAAGATAAACTAAGATTACTGATAAGGGCTGTGGAACAAACTTGTGTTGCTTATCACAAATCCAATTTCCCTTTGTGTGAAACCTCTGTCTCCATTACTGTCCTTGTGTGCCTCACTGCAGGAAAGACCCTTTCATTGTGCCCCGTCCTTCTCTTGCTGCAACACTTCACCTTTCCCTCCACGCCCAGATTGTCACACACAGCTTTATTTTGGAAGCTGTTGGCGGTGAGTGAGTTTGCATGCTTGTAATCTGTGTAGCTGACAGTAGCTCTAACATTTAAGCTTGAATACCATGTTGCGACCTTGTGTTCCACAGCAAACTTATTTTCCGTAGGAGGCCTTGGCTCGGTCTGTTGGCATGTCAGTGTGGAAAATCTGTTTGAAACAGGACATTTTAAAGTACCTAATTTTCCGAAATTTGAAGGCATGCTAAGCATTGAGCAGTGGCAGAGCAGCACTTCACATGCAGCAGCTCATTTCATCATTTTAATCCGTTAAATGTATTTTTTTTAAAGAAGGCAGTGCAGCTCTCTGGTTGGTTTCTGTTTCTTCTGTAAAGGATTGTATGATATTGTATCCGGATTTCCTGTTGTGTCATATGTGTGACATGTATAGATTATATATTTCAATGCTACACCTTTTAACCCTTTGGAGTCCTGGGCTAATTTGGCCGTCTTCGCATACTTTTGATTTGTCTTACTAAACCCCATTAAGAATTGTTTGGCATGTCAATGTTTGGTATCTTTTTTTAAGGACAACCTCACCTATATAACCTGATAGTTATTTCTTTAATTTTGAGATACTATATGAACATTTTGGACCAAAAATCACAAAAAAACGTAAAAACAGATTTTGAAAATGATATTATTTTTCATATAGGTAACACAAACATCCACAACGAAACCATTTGAAAGCTGGAAATAGATGCATGGGATCTCACTATGATAATGTGAAAGTTTGATTGAGGTAGCATGAACCTATATAAAAATGTTATGAACAAATAACAGGTGTATCCATAGGCTTTTTTTCCGCATTTCTCAAGTTCTGTCAACAGTGACACAGTAGGCACAACAAAAAATGTAAAGCTTAAATAATGTACATGGGATTTCATTCTGATAAGGCAAAAGTGTTATTATAAATATATATATACACATTATGAACAAATCTGTTTTTTCTGTCTTTATCTGTGCCACGCTTCAAAGCAGTGTCAACTACGACAAGAGGGCAACATCACAGGCTCCTCCTCCTCCTCCTCCATGTCAAAAAACAAGCTCATAGCTTGACTCACGTTCAGAGTTCTCTTCATCATAGTTGAATCTTCAAAACTCTAAATCTATCTAACTATATCTAAATTCTCAATGTTTGTCTGTCACTTTACTTCAATTGCAGTCTCCCACAGTCTCTCTTTGTCTCCCGCCGCCTGTCTTCGTATATCTTCGTCTCTCTCCATTTCCCGCCGTCCCTCTTCGTCTCTTTTCGTCTTGCTTCGTATCACTCCGTTTACCTGATTACCTCACCCCCTCCCTGGTAAATACATCCTGTTGAGCAGAATCTACAGTTTCCAGTATTTTCCGTTTCGTAAAATGATAAAATACGGCGAAGATATTAAAATATGTGCTTCCATTATTCATACTTTTGAAATATATTTGTATTAACTTTATATCATCGTATCTCCGTGTTTACTGGGTCTTTTTACATGAAACAAATACTGGGATATAGTTTCAAGCCAGTACTTTTGACAGAAATACACATATACATCCTGTTGAGCAGGATCTACAGTTTCCAGTATTTTCCGTTTCGTAAAATGATCAAATACGGCGAAGATATTTAAAATATGTGCTTCCATTTTTCATACTTTTGAAATATATTTGTATTAACTTTATATCATCGTATCTCCGTGTTTATTGGATCTTTTTGCATGAAACAAAGACTGGCATATAGTTTCAAGCCAGTACTTTCGACAGATACACACGACAATGTTGTCCGGACTGTTGTTTTTATGCGGCACTGGCTTGAACAGGTTGAATCGGTTGAAGATCACGTGACATAGACGCCAGCCATTGCAATGAATGGTGAAAAAAAACGTAGGGATCCTACAATTTCAGAGGCGTTTTTGTAGAAATACTACGTCCTACGTTGTGGACCAACGTAGTTATTACACGTTTTTTTGTGAGACTGGGTTGGCATTTTAGTGTAAGCGGTTTATACATAATATAAATAATGCGGTGTGCTTCTTCTGTTGCTCAACTATAGAAAATAAGCTTGTCAGTGCAGACAAGATCAGGGATGGGAGTTTTGT